CCTCTAGTAATATATTTACTGAGAAAAATGGTGACGTGTTCAATACTTATTTTACCTGTTGTATATTTGTGCAGTATGGGAATAATACAAACACAAACTGATGGCTGTGTAATAGTTTATAAACTAACTTTCACATAAACCGCTATGAATTTTTTAAGATTGGAGTTGTTTGAACACTACAGCAATCAAAAATTGGTCTCGACCCCACTTGATTAATCTGTTAGATTAAAAATCCTGTCAGAATTCAACCCTTGCTCCAAAYTGAGTCATGTGATGAACTATCCATGACAGGTAAGATATCAACTCTCTATAACGTTTCCACAGAAACCCAATTTTATCCAAGCTTTTGCTTAAAATCCAAAATAAACACTTTACATTCAAACACTCCCAACTTCTTTGGACATGAGGAGGATCATGTAAATCAGAGGAGAAAAAGGTGGATGTCACTTAAACAAGAAAAGAAGCAGCAGCAGAGCAGGAAGGCCAATTAGCTTCAAAGCTGAAGCAGAGTCGGAGGGAGCGATGGCCGTCTGGGTGGATCTTATTATCTTGTTCCCTTGAGAAAGCTTTTKTTGTGATGTGGATGGAGCTGAAAGTAAATTTAATGTTGATAATGCTTCACCTTGAAGTGAGGCAATCTCTCAGCAGCTGAAAATGCAGCAGCCATCAGTTGTGAATGGACTAAAATAACAACATCTAATGGTGTCCACTTTGCTCCTGCAGGACAAGTCACTGCTGACGTGTCGTTTATAAAAATCCTTCCAAAAGGCCTCAATGAGCGGCATAAATATAACCCTTCTTAAAATCTATTTGCTCCCTCCCACAAAGGATCCCAAACTGATTTTTTAGAACAACATATTAAACATATCACAGCTTGAGCCTCATATTAAACAAGAGAAAAGTCTGCTTCTGACAAGCAGAAAACCTTTGCTAAACTGCGATAATGGATATAAATGGGCACCTGGAMGCCATTGTTTAATTAATGCATTTGACCTGTGTACACACCTGCAGTGCTGACAGACAACAGGAAGCATCACTTCAGCATGACGATCAAAAAAGTCTCATTTGAAGCCAAAATAATGGAAAATAGATTCTGAAATTTATCTGTTTGAAATAAAATGTACAAACACATGGTTTTCTTCACTTGTTGGAAACTGTTAGTTGACTCTGGCAGCCATTTTGAACTTTTTTGGTTTCAAAAATTAATCATTTTTTATCTAAAAATAAAAATGTAAAATGAAGTAACGACTTCCTTCAAACTGAATTAAAATCAGTCCTGTAGCTTATGAGACATTTTACTGACAGATGTTTATATTACTCTAAATAAATAATGGCAGTTTTCAGAGTTGTAATGTAACTAAGTACAAATACTTTGTTGCTGTACTTAATAGGGTTGGGCAATATTGGCAAAAAATTAATCACGATTTTTTTGTGGTATTGAGCCGATAACGATTAATTTGATGGTTAATGTCCTGGAGTCCCTGGACACCCGTCCTAGTCACATGACCAATTTAGTGGGAAAGATTTGCTCTTCGTAAAAAAAATCTTTTTCAAATTGTGTAAAAATTACAGACTTTCAGGCTGTACATCAAATTCTAAATTGTGTTGATAGATAAATAAATTACAGAACTTTTTTTTAAATGTTCATCATATTTGAAGCGGAGAGTGGGATTAATCGTATCAATCGTCAAGCGCCAAAAAATAATCGATTAATATTTTTCTGACGATTAATTGCACACGATACGATTATGCCCAACCATAGTACTTAAGTAGAATTGTTGGGTACCTGTACTTTACTTGAGTAATTATTTTTCAGCATACTTTTTACTTTTACTTATTACATTTTTACACAGTTATCTGTACTTTCTACTCACTACATTTTTTAAAAAGGTAAGAAGTAGAAATTCGTTACTCCTATTTTTTTAGTAGTTGTTATTAGTTAAAATAAATACTATCCTGATAAATTGTCTCCTGGATAGAGTGAATTTAATTGTGGTTGGATGAGAAGTATAAATATACTGACACCTTATTGTACACAACCCATCACAGCTGTACGCTGTTAGAAAATATATTTTTTGGAGAAGTCACCTCCCAATAAATGTCATTTTGGAAAATCTAACTGCTCACTTTTACTCAGTACTTTTACTTTTAATACTTAAGTAGATTTTGTGTCAGAGATTTACTTTTGATACTTAAGTACAAAAAATATCAGATGCTTTAAGACTTTTACTCAAGTAATATTTTTAGAGAAGACTTTAACGTTTACCAAAGTATTTTTATGATAAGATACTTGTACTTTTACTCAAGTATCACTGACAGATTTAAACAAAGATTTTGCACAATCTCAGTGTTTATGTCTGGGATCAGTCTTAGCTCATTTTTTGACCAATATCTCTAGACTTTGCTGAATTTTAGTCATTTATGTGTTTTATTGTCAGTCAGTTGCAGCAGCCATCTTTAATCGGATTGATTCAAAATGTAAATCAGTTGCAGAGGAACACCCAGGCATTACTTTCTGTGTATTTTCAATAAAATTCATCCAGTGGTTCATGAGATATATTGCTAACAGACACACACACACACACACACATAGTCAAAATATAGATGTCTGATTGTGTCTTTTGTAGAAGGGTGCTAATTATTAACTGTGGCCTCCAAAGGATATTTTTAAATACACATAATTGACTCATTAAGTGAAGTTAAATAAGTTTGCCATGAGGCGCGCGGCACAGCAGCGCCCCCTGCTGGCGCGCGATGGGGAAGCGCCTGTCTGCACAATCAGAACAAGTGATCAATCAAAACTCTTTTCATGCATCTGTACTTTCCACCCTTCTGTCACACACAAATTGGCGCGTGCAACCCCCCGCCGCGCGCGCGCGCTCCGACAGCGCAGGACGCGTTCCTTCACACCTCACACACAAATGGCTGCACAKTGATGTGGGATCAAAAGTTCAAATGTTTAAACAAATAAGCTGATTAGAAACTTGAAGGAAAATTGAACAACTGTTTTCTTTTTATTAAAATGAACGTCATTAGTGCCAGGTGTAGATTTGAATAAAAGGAGTAAAAGTTTAAACTTCTGTAGTTTTTATTTGTAAGTTCGGGTGAAACGAGGACAAATGTTTGTTGTTTGCTGAAGTGTCACTTCTCACCTTGGCACCGTGGCTCATGGAGACACTTGGGGACGCGTCAAGGCTCAGTTTGGCACGAGCTGCCAGAGGGCTCCCGATAAATAGGAGGCGGTTTCCTGCCGGCAGCCTCACATTCCTGACGGCACTGTTTTTACGCGCGAGGAGACATGGAGCGCAACCAACCCAGCAGCGGCGCGCTTTCTGCCGGACACAACCAGCAGTCCGGTTTCTGGAGACCTTGGGACAAAACGGAGGGCGAACCCCCACAGAGGACGGTGAGCTTTCGATCCGAACACACCGGAAGTTACTTTAAAACTGGAAACTACAGAAATGTGTTTTAAAACTTCCAGGCTCCTTCTTTGCGCGCGGACCTTTACGCGCAACCCAAAACTCAACAACTCCTCCATCCTGTGAAGTAAGCAAACGTGTTCAAATCAACCTGCTTCTTTTTATTTTTTGTCATACTAATTCATCCCCCCCCCATTGTTTAAAAGGTTGTTCTGGCCCAAATCCAGATGTTTCGACTATCTGTACCGGGATGCAGAAGCGCTCCTGCGCAGCTATCCGATCCAAGCGACCATCTGTCCTCATGARGACTCCAGCGTCGATGAAGAAAGCGAGGATGAGGAGGAAGAGGCAGAACAAAAGCAGGATTAAAACTCGCAAACTAACACCTCCGTATTTATACCTGACTTAATTTATTCCTGTAAATAACTAACATGTACAGAAAAGTCCTGATGCATCTCAGTTATCAGGTAAAAAATCAAAAAGAAAAAAAAAATTGTATAGGTCTTCTGGACGGGTTCTTCTC